TAACTGATATATTTGCTATATACTTTTCCTCCCTGTTAGTGTTAGATAGTGCAGGAGGATAGATGCATAAGACATTTTAGTGGGTAAATTAAGGTGCTTCATAAAAGCATCTGTTTCTTTGTTATCAAAAGGAATAAACATGCTTTGCTTGCATTTTAAAAGATTTAGCCAAGCTCGGACACAAGGGCGCTCAGCAACCTATTAATATCTATCAACAAAGATCTAGTAGCATTGCCAAAATCACATTTAATTTTAGGCGACAAGATTGTATGAATTATTTGATATAGAGATATGTTTTTAAACCATTTATACATATTATTAAATGAGTATATATATATACAATATCATAAATTTAAATAGAGTTAAAAGAGTTCATTATTAAATAATAAAATTAAAATTATCTTTACCTCTCCTCTTTTGCCGATACAAGTGTTGATCTGTCATGAGACCTAAAATCTAAATTTGACATGATTCAATCTCATCCAACCAATAAAAAATATTTTGCACGTGACATTAATTTAAAATTTTACAATTTATGGTGTAAACAGTAAGGAAGTATGAAAAAATTTTATAAAAAAAGTTCGCTCAATCATTTTTCATTTTTGATTAGGATTTGTATTGTATTTTTTCTTTTTCTTTTTCTTTTTTTTCCAGATTATATATACATATCCTAATCCTAACTTGAGTATGGAGACAACTCCTAATCCTTTTAATTCTAACCGATTTACTTATTAATCATTCCCTCTATAAATATATAGATTCATAGACTCTTTCTTTGCCTCAATTCCTAGCATTCCTTCTTGGCTTTGTACGTCCCGAAGCAGGAACCAAGGGCAACACCATCTACTTGGCTTATGAGAACGATCGATGCCTCTATGAATTTGATGTTGAAGAGAAGAGTATAACTATTACTTTGCCTTTTCCCAACGTGAAAAATAACTGGGATGAAACTGCCCAGTGGGTTTTGCTGCCTCTTGTTTAGGTAAATTATTTCTTTTGTTGTCTTGTCAAAGTAAAAACGTTGAATAAAGAATAAAAAAAATTCAATTAAAGGTCTGGAATGCTTTATTTTGAATGAGGATTGATTTGTAAAGTGCAGAAACAACACCAGAAGTCCTCAGATCATTAAATTTCAAAGAGAATTTGTCCAATTTTTTTGGCTTAACCCCCCTAACTCTAACCGTCTGTCTTCAATACCATTAACCCTCAATATATACTTTGGGCACTTTATCCCATAAACTTCACATTATTATTATAATTGATCTAAAATATATAAAATCTTATTACACAAGTCACATGACAGTCTCTACTCAGTCACTCTATCCTTGCTAGTGTTATGCTAGCATAAATATAATCTATTTGGATCCAAAGGAACAAGAAAAATCTTGCCATATGTGCTTTGAGTGAGATTTTTTTACCTCCATTAGTCCAAGAGGACCATATTTACGCCAGCATGATGATGACTAATACAGGGTAATGGAATATAGACAACATGTGACTCATGTGATTAGAGTTCATTTATTTTAAGCCAATCATAACAATAACATAAAATTTATGAGTTAAAACACACAAAGTGTACATTGACAAGCTAGTGGTCTCAAAGACAAATAATTAGAGGAGTTTTGTGGAGTGAGGGTTAAGTTCAATTTGTACAACTATTAACATACCAAAACCACAGATAATGATGTATAGAAAATATAAAAGCACAGATTTTTAACATAGGAAACAAGATTCAGCTCATTTGTGTACAAGAGGAGATTAGGAAAAGAAAAAGATAGAATCAAAGTGTATACCGTGATGACTATTTCACTAGCAGTCGCGGATTGTGAGTAGTAGTCTCGTAGATGCAGAATGAAAACAAACTTTATAGATTAATACGATGTGTACATAACCGAAGTAAGGTTTTATAAAGATACTAAAGCTCCTCAGCAGAGAGAAAAGATAATTCTACTAATTTGTACTGCATGACTATAGAAATAATCATTAATATGTGCTTGTAGATAGAGCCATAAAGGTATAATTTTTAAATGCTACCAGATCCTTCTGTCCAAAGATAAAAGCAGGTGGCCAAGTGCCCTAAACGTCCAAGCTTGGCTAAACCTTAAAATTCAAGCAAAGCATGTCCTCTTTTGATAAAGAACAAACAAGTGGTTTCATCAAGCAGCTTTATTCACTAAAAAAAGGTCCTATGCATCTATCCTCTTGCACTATCCACTATATCCAGGAAATCCATACCTATAGTGATTTTTCAAGAAATTCTTAATGAACTCGCCTTAAATGTGACTTTGGCAATGCTACTAGATCTTTGTTCATGGATATAAACAAGTTGCCCAGATCCCTTATGTCCAAGCTTGGCTCAACCTTGAGCATTTGACAAGCTGCGGCATATTGTTATTGTAGTCTTGCAGATGCAAATTGAAAACAAACTTTCCCATTAAAAAAAAAAAAAATTGAAAACAAAACTTATAAATTAATTTGATACATGCATAACCATACATTTTATGTGTACTGACGTTTTCTCAAACTTGCGATGGGTAATCATGCAGATATTTAATCTCCTCAGCAGAGTGCAAAGATAAGTTTAATAATTTGTTCCACATGAGCATGACAATGGAAATAATCATTAACATTCTAGACAGCAATACAAGTACAATGTAAGTTGTTCCCACACAAACACTAGACAGCGAGACAAGTACAATGTAAAATTTGTGTCCGGCACTAAGTGGCTTATTGGCCAGCCCCTTGCGGGAAAGTGCCAGGACACCAAAGACCTGGGTTCTAACCCAGGCCCTACACCCCTTACCCCGAATTTCCCGAGGTCAAAAAAAAGAAAGAAAGTACAATGTAAATTTGTTCACACACACACACACACACACAAGCACCCTTATATCCAAGATAACCTAAACCCTAAAAATCAAGCAAAGCATGCTTATTCTTTTTGATAATGAACAAAAGAGTGCCTTTTAGGGCAGCTCTTTTGACTTAAAGCCCTATGCATCTATCATCAGGATTTAAATTATAACAGAGGCATTTATTCTTACAACAACTTCATCTAGTGCACGCTTGCCCTCCTCTGCTTCCTCTTCTCCTCCCCTTTCTTACCGCTTTTGTATCATTTCTTTGCAAATAATAACAGCATTTGCTATGGTCTTCATATCTAGTCCCATAGGAAATTTCACAACAGATTATTGCCAATCAGGACAATTACTAAGTTATTCAAAATCAAGATATCAAATGTTTCATAGGCTGACTAAACATCCTGCAATAGGGTTTCAGATTCATGAACAATTCTTTGCTAAATATGGAAAGTGAAGGGGAAAAAAGCAACTGCAAAACCAATGAAGATGGGCAAAACTCATGGCACCTCTAGTAAAACCAGATGAAGAAAAGGGATATAAATAGATGAAAGGGAACCTGAAATATGACAGGAGACTGCGAAACTGAAGCTCACAACAAAGCATAGGAAAGGTCTGCTTTTCACAGAGTCAATGAAATGAAAGTTCTTTGTGAATGAATTGCTATCCCCTTCCAGCAGGCCCTGCAGCACCATTTTAAAATTACCATATATGATGCAAGTTATGACTTGATTAAAGAGAAAAGACAATTTGTCATGATAAGAATCCAGGTGGTGATTTTGATAAAATAATAAATTTTAATTTCAACATTTCAGACGTCCGTACTTCCAAATCTCAAACATAAGGGATATTTGACACATACATAATAATAACAGAAATGAGCACCAAAAAGATATCCCTTGAACAGAGACACTTCTAAACGCTTGTTGGACTTGGGCTGACTTTAATTAGCTTTGAAAGGGCTCTATTAGCATTGTGTTAGACCACCAACCAAAGCATGCTCATAAAACCAGAGAAAAAAAATCATAAAACTAACCTGGAGAAGTTCAAGGGACAAAATTCTCATCTTCACCGTTACCTCATCAGTGTCTTCCTTCACACCCATCTGCAGACACTTTACTGCACTACGGGGAATATGGAACAAAGCTCACAGATGCTAGGAAAATTGAGAGAACTGTAACAAAGCCAACCTTGCAGAGTGTGCAGAATACTAGTAAACCACCATGTTTTCCAATACTCATGCTCTCAAGGTCAATCTCTACTGAGACGTATCAAAGTTGTTGAAAATATCAGAGTCATGCTACCAAGCATCCAAAAAATGGAATACAAAGGAGAGAAGGAAAAAAACCAGCCTGAGGATGTGAAACAAGAATCTTTAATCACGTGCATACCATGTAATCTTTTTACCATCCTCAACATGGACCACTTTGTCAAGTGCAGCCTCTAAACCCTGTATACCACGTAAAAGTACAAGGATAAGAACATGATACACTACATGAAAGAAGTAACAAAGATGAGAAGATAAACTCATAGAACCAAACACCCAGCATAGCATACATCGTAAAAAAAGCTGAGGACTGTGGCACCACAATGAAATAAAATATTAAATAAGAATTGACCAGGTTGGACCTTGATGCCAGCACCACCAGCAAGATTATGGATTTCCTCAACAGATGCAATGGTGGTGCCTTTAACCTAAGTGCATCTCCTAAAGTCATTTTTCTTTCCCATTTTTTCAGTTGTCGAGCTAGACTTCTCTGCAGAAGCAGTTGCTGTATGATCTGAAGGAAAAGATGAAGAGAAGAACTGAACCTGTAAAAGACGTGATGATCTTTCTTCCTCCAATAACAGAATAACACACCAAAATTCAGAAATTTAAATTTCAAACTGGATCAGTCTCCATTCTCCCAAATATGATACTGATCATCTGTGTCAGCGTTGCCTTTAACATTGCTTGATTTAATTTTATTGGACTCTTGCTGCAGATTCAAACAAGAAAATATGAGCATGACTTTAATATGGAGTGTTGTAACCCTCAATGGATACAAATTTTAACTATGGAGAGCAATATTATAGCATACTTTGATAACTCCAAGCAAAGGTTCCCCATGGACTACAAATTGGATTTACCAAAGTCATGAGATCAAAAAAATAGGAAAGAAATAAAAGCTAACCCTCCAGGTTGCCACCATGGTAGCAGAATCAAGTACACCTATTTAACTTGAGTACAATGAGATATTATATAAAGCAAGATCTGAATGAAAATTTTATAACTCTTTATTCCATATATAGATTTCTCTGCCCGTATGCAAAACAGAAAAACGTTGTTTATTATGATTAATTGCAAAAGGGTAAAATATAATGCTTCCCCAACAACACTCTCCCTTTTCTTGCCTAATTTCAAGAACCATCTCAACAATGACTCTGTAATAATATCCCAAGAAAGAGCACAAGAACTTGATTCATACAAACAAGTTGGAAAAAATCAGGAGCCACTCAAGAGCCAATGATTATGATGATATGCCCACCTATATCATCCTAAGTTCATTACGGATTCTCTCTCTTTTTATTTAACAATAACATGGAACATAGCCTAATGGAAAGGTATCTACAATATCCCTAACATTGTAGCTCTGAATTTTGTGGATGCCACTGCAGTAAGAAAGACCTTAAGCATTTGAAGTATTGTACTGCACATTTGTTTCAAAGATCAAACAGGCATAACAAGTAGCATAAATTATGAAACAGATTAATAGCACAAGCCAAAGGCATACCTATCAGAAGATGAATTATCAACACATTCAGGATCTCTATCTTACATTCTTTCCACCATCTAAACCAGGATCTCCTTCCAAATGATCATAGGCCAATTAGTTTCTGCCATGAAATTTGAGCAGCAGCGGTGGGCGGGCCCAGCAGCTACTCGTCACCGAATTCTAGCGGCCGGCCTGTAAGCCAGTACAGTATCCCCTCCAATCCACTCATCACCGGTTTCGTTCGACCTCAGCGAGCCAGTCGGAGTGAGTACGGCCGCCACCGGAAGAATCAAGCGGCGAGCCTCCAATCGATTCCACTAAGCGACTCATTGAGCCCAGCGAGTCAGGCAG